AATAGGGGATTCCCCATTTAGAATGATACACTTTAACATGCGCATGAGGTATTCACTCTGAAATAAATGAAGAAGGAGCAAACCTAAGTAGTTATCTCTCACAAAGGACCTTCCCATCAACATCCTAAATTATGAGTAAGACTTCTTTATGTAGATATTGCTGAGCTGCTATGTTCTCAGATTCAGAGTTTTTTTTTCAAATCCCCAATATATGGTAAAATAATAGAACAGGGATTTGAGGGAGGGGGATTGTTTAGAGAAGCAAAAAAAAAAAAAAGAATTGGAGATAGTCCAAATCACCTGACCTTGCTATTTGCTTTGGTTACTTTTTCTTTTTTTTCTTCTTTGTTTTAAATCTTAAATTGGAAGATTGTATGACTAAAAATAGTGGCTTTGTTGAGTTCATTTTCAATAGAAATCAAACTACTAAGTATGTAGAATGTTAACCAAAGTCTTATACATGCAAAGTGCAGTTTGTACAGTAATATTTGACATATATCTTTTGTAGGTTTCCAATGAAGTACTTGGAACTATAACCAAAGGTGGATTGAGTATTATCTCTTAACTTATTGCTATCCTCCCACTTTTTTTAAAAAAAAAGTATTTTTGCAGATATCAAAATATTCTGATTTTTTTTAACTTACAGGGTATTTTGATGATACCCTGTATGATTATTAGGACTTTATTTGTTTCCAAATCATATAAAAAGTCTGATTTCAAAAATCAAGTCTATTTTCCCTTAGGTTTTAAAGTTTCATTGCTTGAAAATATTTAACATTTAAGAGAAGAAATGACAATCTGATTATTTTTCAAGCAATCAAAACATTAATAAAATCCTTCCATGATCTATGCATTAACTGGCATATGTATCATGTAAATCTCATACCTCCAATATCTTACTTTGGTTTAGACTGAAATTATTGCAGAACTCACAAACGACATGACACTATTTACAATAAATCCTGTTATGAAAGATTCAATTTGCAGCAATCAGATGCTAGCTACTAAGCGATTGCAAGTATCTGAATTTTATCCTACTTCACTGTTCAACGTACAGAAATTGCATCTGTGTATTTGATCTGTCCTGCTGAGCACTATCAGCAGCTTGCATCTCTGCCACTATTGTTTTTAAAATGGCAGGAAGGACGTGACTAGTCAAGAGCACTCAGCAGGATGAATTTCACATGGCATAAGAGGGGCTGGAATTGTCTTATAAAAAATTACGATCATGTAGCCACCTCATTCAAGCAGTCTTCATACTTTGGCAGAATTATCAAAATTATTCATCAGTGAACCTGCATTTAAACTATGTACAGAGGAAAGATTCTGAAACTGCTACTACTGAGCAGTCTACTAGAGCTGCCATTAGCTCTGCTCCGTCTGGTCAGCCTCCAGGGTAACAAGGATC